TCGAACCCGCACCCTTCGCTATCCGGGCGAATGCACTGACCATTATGCTACCACGGCCCTTTTCGCCGCGTCGATCGTCGTCACTATTTCTAGTAAACTTTTCTTTAGATTTAAACATCTAGCAGTTAAATGCTTAAAAAATAAATAAAAACATAACTATAATTGCTATTTCTTCTTTCAAATGTTTAATACTTGAAAAAGTATTCATTTGACATTGTGGATTACCTACAATGCGAAGAGATGGCGCTGCCTTGCAGCTTAAGGCTAGGAAAATTTCGACGCGGCGAAAAGGGCCGTGGTAGCATAATGGTCAGTGCATTCGCCTGGATAGCGAAGGGTGCGGGTTCGAGTCCCGTCCGCTGCCTGGTCCGCGTGGATTTTTTTCTAGTAAACTTTTCTTTAGATTTAAACATCTAGCAGTTAAATGCTTAAAAAATAAATAAAAACATAACTATAATTGCTATTTCTTCTTTCAAATGTTTAATACTTGAAAAAGTATTCATTTGACATTGTGGATTACCTACAATGCGAAGAGATGGCGCTGCCTTGCAGCTTAAGGCTAGGAAAATTTTCGACGCGGCGAAAAGGGCCGTGGTAGCATAATGGTCAGTGCATTCGCCCGGATAGCGAAGGGTGCGGGTTCGAGTCCCGTCCGCTGCCTGGTCCGCGTGGATTTTTTTCTAGTAAACTTTTCTTTAGATACAAAATATTTGTGAATTAATATGTATTTTTTAGCCCTGTTCCCAACCGCTGTTACTTTGCTATTACGATTTCGCAGTGAAAATTTCGAGGTCAAGTTATTGAATTTGTGCAAATTAATCATAATATTGAAAAGAAGAAACAATTTTATAGATGTTTAAAAATATATAGTTCTCCTATATTTTTCAAAGGTCACGATAATGGTTATAGATTAAAAATAAAACTGTATTGAACTAATCTAATCAATCACTCTCAACATGCATTTTACTGACATGTGTGCAACACATTATATTTTTTTATTTTTATTTTATTTAATTAATATAGTAAACAATGTTTTAGAAAACGATTCCTTAGAATAGAATTTTATTTCAAGTAAATGCCTTCGGTATAAGTTATAGTACTTATTGGTTAGTCAGATACTGTTATTTATGTATTCGTCAATAATAACATTTGTTTATTTGTAACTAACCTATGAGAAACCTATCTTTAACTGCATGTAGACTCTAGAATACCCATATTTATATTGTTATAATTCTTAATCCATGTTATTTTAAATGAACAGTACTTAGGTAAAATAAACAACATTCTTTAGACAATATTAGTAATATTTTGTTTTATAAATTAAAGATGAACTTCTTCATGGTTACTGCTATTCGAGAAGTTTATTCTCGGCCATAGCTTGTCTGCCATTTGTATTTTAATGTTGACTCTGCCATGTTTTTCTCCCACCGTACGTAGCCGGCTTCAACCAATATTCTTGAGACAACAATGTTGTCAATTGTATGATCAAGCAAGTATTCCCGTATAATTTTAAATCTGAGATGCCAGGTAGAACATAAATGCTGAGAGTTACAAAATTATATCCGGTTTTGGTCTCTTTAAATGTTGATTGATTCTACATTTGAAATATTGACCGTCGTATTTGTAAGCAAGTCGAAGTATTCTGTTTAAGGTAATAACTTGAGCAATAATTTTCATTTCATACTTAAGAAATTAATCAAAGTAAGAACTGTCAAAAATAATAATTCTCAACCAAGTAATAGAAACCATTTTCCTAACCACTTCTTTTATTGAAAATTTTTTGTGTCAAGTAAAGTCTTTATTACTAAGTAACAAAGTAATATCTTAATAATCACTTGTGTATAAATACGAGTTGAGTCTTCAAAAACTTGAGAATGTTTCGTATTTACTTGCAAAGGTTTATAAGAAAGATAAAAATGTATTTAAGATCGCAATATTACATTACCAGTTTTTACGTAATGATATGCAGATGCAGTATTATTCCTGTACTTATTTTTGTTATTATGAACCACGGTATTTATTTTAAGCGATTTGCTCGCTTTATCAACTCCTTATCGCGTTGGTCATGAATATGTTTTTTTATTAATGGTAAGTATGTAGGTACTATCGCAAACGAAATATTTCTCCAGTAGACAATCATAGTGGGCTGTGTTGACTCAGCTGTGGGCACACGTGACAGAAAACGCTTCTTCCATCCATTCGTTGGTAGTTACGTACACACGGACAGACGTATCCAGTTTTATCATCTAAACATATGTGCTGATAAAATTTATTATAGAGCATTTCTTAGGAATAATATCGGCCACCTACCGATTTCGATATTAGAAAAAATCACGATTCCTTAATGTTGTATAACATGTTTAAGTACATTTTAAACATTGGTGAAACAGTTTGGAGTAGTATGTATCTTATTTTCTATCCAAACTTTTCGTAAATACTATGGCTAACAATAAATTTCAGATTTACCTACAACCTGCTTAATATGATAAAGTTCTAGACTTTATAAAAGACATATTCAGCATAAATATCACTCTCGGTACCCACATCACATTAATGCTATGTTTGCAATTATTAATCACCAGCCTATTAACGTGCCCAGTTTCCCACTGCTGGGACACAACTGTTTAAAATACTAATCGAGCCATGATCCACTATGCTGGATTGTAAAAGTTACTTAACTCCGTCAATCGCAGACGGAATGCACTAACTACTTCACTATCGAGTTTCTCAGTTGTTATTATAGGCAGTAAGCTATCCTGGTTTCTACACTCTGCTTTTGTAGAATCTTTTCGAATGAAAATGTTGAATTATCGCGATTTTATTATTCGAGTGTTACCGAGTCCGGGTTCTGTACCTAATGGAAACCTTATCATAACACTGATCCTTTGGTAAACTTCTTTCCATCTTTTCGACTGCATTTCATTGGTGGTTTGTTTTTGTCATACACTACTATAAATTAATTTCCGTATTTTGTTATGCTTTTGTGATTATTTAAAATTCATAACGCGCGTATCCGCCTCGCACTTAGCCGGTTTTTTTAAAGTTACACGCTTACGTAATCATATCGTACTAGTGCGAACTATACAATTTAATTAACGTGCCACTTACTGTATGCCTTAAATATTATCACAGTTTTATTTTTACTTCACTGCTGCTCAGAAATACCTCAAAAACATGTATTGTACATTTATTTAACTTCGTAAATTTATTTGACCCGCTATAGGTTGGTGTGGGCACAGCTGCGTTTAACCAATCGAATGGATTGGACATGTTTATTTTCGTACGACTACTTAATTCAATATAAAGATATATCCAAAAAAAGGCGTGACGTTGATATGGTGCGACAGACCATTAATATCAACCTAATTCACTCTATGATGCATTAAAAACAAGGCCCGCTTTTAAACTGTCGCGACTGCATCAAAAGACGTGTTCAACGGACTATCGCACAGTGTAATTATATACCTACCTGAATCTTTATTTCTTATAAAACTACCAAGCGTGAAACATGTCGGGGCACATTATCTACGAAGCACTAATGACGCCTCATTCAATGGGTACTAACTGACATAACAATACAGCTAACGATAAAGCGAAGTCAGGATAAGTAGTTTTCCATGTTACAGTAGGTACTAACCGTCTGGTCTCGCCCAAGTACTGAATACAAGACGGAATAAATATAACGACGTACGAAATTCTTTGAGGAATCTCCCAATTGTCTGCCTTCGCTAACCGAAATGCTTTCGCAATCAATTATTCGCTACAAATTGACGACACCCCGTTCATCGATAACATTGCCGCATATTGAGACAACACTTTTAATAAAAATGTCAGCGTCGCAACTTCGGTATTTGACGGCGAGCTCATCAAAATCGCATCAAACCACATCTCACACCCGCTCACTTATTTATTCGAGCATTTTTAACACCCATTTGAGTTTTACTTTATTTTCGCGGCTAGACGTCTCCGTACCGACCCTACAGCGCAGATGAGACAATGTAATAAAATTATAATGACAATTGTATTTTCACCTTAAACACGTTGGCGTTGGGAATTTTCTTGTAATTTCACACTTGCGAGCTGTCGCGTCTCGTGTATCGTCAAATTAGAAGTCCTCAAGTTTTCCAAACCCGCTGTCTCGCGTAGCTGACACCCGAAGTTTGTGGAATGCTTGCTACGTGGGTCTAATTCACGCGTACAAATTTTCTTGATTCGATTTTTGCGAAGCGTCTACCCGTGTACACACGCCCGAATTTTATGAATATCTGTCAATAAAATGTAGCAGGTACGCGGAATATTTTCAATACCGCCTGATTTGCGTATATCTTTCAGGTATTTCCTCTTTGCGAGATTAACAAATTGTTCACTTCACGAATTCTCTAGCTCGCAGCAATATCGACAATCAAGCGCTGCAAGCGTAATAAACGCCAGAGATTTACATAAACCACCGGCTCCTTTGACAGTCGAATACTGATGAGAGGACGGGTTGCATTCAAGTGTAATTGCCGTGATGATATAAACCCATAATTTGCCTTGGCAAGTAATAACCTGCGTTGGAAGCGTGTAGAACATAACTCTCTAGTAGACTATTTGCATGCCCTTTGCTGAACAAGCTTGGCTTTGTTCCTCTTCAATCAGACCTGATAAGAATTACGCAAAGAAAAATATTGTTTGTTATAAAACTTCGAAAACCAACCAATTCAATCGCATTACCTTGGGTCAATGCATTTTGAGATAGATATGTAGCTCACCGATATTAACGTTGAGCTCTCAGACAATGGCAAACATGAAGCGAAATACGCAGCTGTCGGGATAAATGTATCGAGCATCGCAAATACGAACCACTCGCAGACTTATTGTTTGAGATGGCCTTGATGAAATGTTACCCATTCCATACTGACATCGCGGACGAGACTTGAAATTCAGAACGTACAACATTGGAAACGGCGGACCCTAAAATAAATACTCGGAAAAATTGGCACATCTGAAAATTCAATTACATGTTTAACCCGTATCAGATTCGCGGTATCGGGTATCTTGGAACTAATTGGATTTGCGGCGAGGTTAGTGCATTTTGTTCGGTCTTTCGACGTTCTCCCCAGCTAGCTAGACGTCTCGGTTTTCGTATTTAATTTTTATCAGAGCCAAAGAGCGTATTTAATTTTAGTTGTAGCAAGTGCCGACGACGCGACCGACGGCGCAATATAATAGGAAAAGTTTCATTTGGGTAATTAAAAATAAGCCACTCTTGGGAACGATTCGGATTTATTCTCCTTATTTAACCTTTGAGCCAGTTGTGCATATCAATATGCTATAATATATTCAAAAACGTATTTCCGAACACTTCTAAAATACAAATAACAATGGTAAACTTGCTGGAGAGAACATGTTGTATTACTTAGTGCGCAATTGTTATTATAAGTTTTTTTTGAAGAACATTATATACTATTCGGGTTTACTAGGCTTTGGCAACGAAAGAAAACATTAGTTTTGTTTAACATAATTCGTGTAAATTAGAAATATTCACATAAATTCGTTATGTATTCAACGTGTTTAAATGCTCAGATCCAAAATATAGAATAATAAATAGCATTTTAAACAATTATGTAAGTTTATGTAAAGTGAATGACTTTGTACATTTGCAATTTAATTATTAAATAATAATGTTTACATTGGATAATGAAACAGACTTAGTAATCAACAAAAGTCGACGTAAACCTGTTAGGTTCTTTTAGATTTTTATCTTTGCAGCATGTAACATATCCGGTACTAAAACTGCAGGTGATTGTTAAATTGTGTTTTGTTTTATTCACTTCCTGGCAGTGCGGCCGGCGCCGGAAAAGCACACTCGGAAGGGTAGCACCCCATGCAGCTCTTTAATTATCGCGTCACCTTCAATTCGGAAAGTTTTAATGTGTGTACGTTAGTTCTGCGGGATGCCAAGTGCTAACGACGCTTCAAGCACACTTATTCCTCTCGTCTAGTTAAAACGAGCTCTTTCCGCTCTTGTTGTTTGAACAGCGAAACAAGCGAACAGACCCACGATTTAATTTGTTCGGGATGTAGTAACTTTGCGCATCGTACTGCACTTTGCCGTCTAACAGTACAGATTTTAGTGTTTTCGATTAAACTTCAGAGTTTACATGCAAGTCGGGAGTACCCCTCGCGGAAGCATCGAGGATATGACGCGACGGCGGCGGGCGGGGCCATTTCGTTCGACACAACACAACTGAGTCGACTTTCCCGGCTGCCAAGTTTCCCCGCACTATGTAAATTCAGCCGACGTAATTAGAGGAAGCTATTATCGTCAACTCCAGTTAAATAGCTCAGTCTGCTCGTGTTAACTGACTTCAGGCCGGAGCGAAAAGCTTTCTGCCGTAATTCTTCGAGTGCGGCCGCCGTTATGTAGACAGCGTGGTAATGGCGGTACTCGGGAGTCGTCACAAACTTTATGTGTTAGTTTAGTACCTCGCCCAGTCATCGCGCACGACAACTGTAAAAAGCGACGATTGCGAGACAAAGCGTGATCGGATTGAGTAAATAAATAGTCTGCGTCGGAGTGCTCATCAATCTTGCAGTACAAAAGTAAATTGTGCAAGTCGCCTCGCAGCGAGTTCGTCGCCCGCAACCACGAACCTTACTAAACTTTCGTGAGCGCGACACTTAACAATTTAATTGTCACTCATTAGTTCTAAAGCTACGACTAGTCCTGCGATTTTAATTAACTCGCTAATTCATAGACGTATCATTAGCTGAACGATTAAGCCTTCCATTTTTCAAAGCGTTCAGTGCGCCGGGATTTAGGAACTATCAATCACGCGTGGATACGTCGTGTGTCGAGCGAGCATCTGTTCGCAGGGCAGAATCAATCATTTTAGTAGCAGCAGACGGTCCCGGGGCCACATATGTATCACTCCGTGAACTGACGACATAAACTGATGAACTGAAATTATGAAATGCTGTATTAAGACCTGGCTCCAAATGTTTAGTTTACAAGTTATGGCATAACCGGAATTGATGTTTGTGTTGCAGCAAGATATCGTTGCAGTGTTTGCTATGCCGGATAGCACACCCCTCCTCCCTGTTCCCCCGCCGGCTCGTCTCTTGGCAAACTAAACTGCACTGCACTGCAAATCATACTGAGTTTGTTTGCTCAGGTCAACGCCCTTGCCGACTACGTTTTATGTGTTCCTGGTGTCACGACGTCACTCTATTATTAGATAGAAATGTTTAGCATCAATATAATGCACATCGGCTTTCGCGAGTTCCTTACTTATGCGTACCGCATTCTGGTTTTGTATGCGCCTTGTAGGTAATCAGTTGCAATATTCACATCATAATGAAACTGACGACAAGAGCCAGATTAAACAATAGCCGTGTTTCTATTGCCAAACGGGGAATGAACCCAACCAGTTTCGAGCATAGAAATTTGTGTATAGGCGTGGTGCTTTGACAGTTGATAATATGTTTAATTAAGTCGTTTCTCCGTGCCTACGCTGCAACACTGTAACTCGTTAAACTTTCATTATTATTCGCTCTCACAAATTGCTCGTACGTGAACGAATTGTGCTCACAATCGATCTCTGCGGCGCTCGTGAGCCTTTGTTTGACTTCGACTCCGAATTCAGCGCGTAATTGCCTTTCAGCCTTTCATTATTCAACTTTATGCAGTCATTTACTTGCGTTATTACGAAGGGAGAGTTGCTGCGGTAAGTGTCGTGGGTGGATGCATTAATCGTAATATGTAAATGTGGGGATATGAAATATTGAAATTGCGAGCGTGGTTTACAATAACGTCTTTGCTCTAAGATAATAACGGTTTCGGTTCGACCCCTGCTTCTCATGTAAAAATGATAACGTAAAGATGTGGGAGTTAATATTCGTTCTTTTGTTTTACTAAATATTGTTTCTCTCTTGTTTCAGATTGAGGACGAAGGTAACCATGGCAACGATGACACTCGACTGTTCATCTTGTCAACGTTGGCTGGGCAACACAAGCCAAGAGTATCCTGCGCTCTCTGCAAAGAAACTCTGCACGTCTTTGATCGTTATCCTCTAGTCGATGGTACCTTCTTCTTAAGTCCAAGACAGCATACGAGCAGCGCTGTGGAGGTAAATACTTTCACATGATCTTTATGTATACATATGTAGGTTCTCAGCATATCCCTAACGACGTTGATCATCTTCATCATTAGCCTATTATTTTTGCCATTGCTGGGACACACAGGCCTTCGCTAAGGATGGAATAAGGAGATCTGGCCATGACCCATCACTTGGGCCCAGTTCGGATTGATGAATGCTAAGGACTGCAGATGCAGCCGGCACCAACGGATTAACGTGCCTTCCGAAGCACGGCTTCGGATCTGAGATGGTAAATTTTTGATCACCCATCCAATGACCGATCATTGCGAAAGTTTCTAACTCCAACGATCGCAACAGAACGCGCTGACCTCTTGCGATATCGAGCTCCTCAACTAAGTAGAAAGAGTATCAGAAATAAGGTTCATCATGAGAAAGAAAAATATTGTATAATACGGATCTCAGTCTTATAGCAATAAAGATGCTTAATTTGAGAATAATTTGGTATGGTAATAATACTGATAGTTGCTGGACCAGAATCCAAATCGTTTTCTAAGCTGACTAACCTGTGCATTCATTTATATGAATATTACTATCTGCACTTAAATTCTAGTAGCCGATATATTTTATGCTTTACGTCTTTAACAAAGTAATAATATTATAAACGATCTGCCCACACAATGAGGTTCACTTAAACAAATTACCGAAGCAGAACAAAGCTAACAAAATATGCCGGAAGTTAATAGATTAGATTTCACAACTTACGTTAAAGCAAACAATGGGATGCCATTAAATTCAATGTTGATTTCGGTGTCGCTTTGTTTATTTTGGAATCGACATGCGGGTGAATATATAAATACAATTCAAGCAGAAGACAAATGACAACTTCTTTGGAACTTAAATAAGAACCAGCAGTTATCTAATTCTGCTACAAAATAACATCTCCCCCGCAATTCGCGTTTCAGATTCTTGGCTCGCTTATTTGCAAAGCGAATTAGGAGCTCAAATATATTCATGTTTGTTTATGGAATTAACAACCCGACCAAAGTGCATACCTTCATACGATTTTTCATTCTCAAGTTAAATTGTTTTAGGTAATCTGCAAAATTTGAGTCACCGTAACGTATTAGTAATTTGTGCCGTAACTACATAACTTTTCTTTGTTTTAAGCATTAGTCACACAGGTACCTAAAACTTTTATTACTTTTCGACTGCGGCCAAACTAAGATTGTATATTTTTCTGTATGTCTTTGTATTCCACCGTAGCGATAAAACGACTGATGTTAGTATTGTTTTATTTTTTAACTATGATTGCAGTTTCATTATTTTTTATCAATGTTCCCATTTTGTATTGCCTAGGTCAAAGTGGAAGGGCGCACCCAATACCTAACGTGTGTATGCATGGGCTGCCTGGAGAGATGCGACCCCGAGAGGACCATCCGCTGCCGGTTCTGCGGACAGAAGTGGGACGGCACGTCGCTCGTGCTTGGCACCATGTACTCTTATGATATCTTCATGGCGACACCCTGCTGCGCGGAACGATTGAAGGTTTGTTAAGTGCCTACTTGGTTTTCTCTCTCGGAGAGATTCGATCCGAAGAGGACCATCCGCTGACGGTTCCGTGAAAAGAAGTGTGACGAAACGTCGCTACTCTTTGTCGTACTCGGCACCATGATTGCACTCTTATGATATCTACTTGGCAACAACTGCGCGGAGAGAGTAAAGGATTTTTGTGTACTTGTTAGTTTATTTATTGTTTATTTTTTGTGTATTACCGAAGAGTATCGTGCTAATGACCGATTGTCTTTTGTGTAGTATACATCGTCCTGATTCTTAATTTAATTGAATCACTTCTGCTTTTGAAATCCGAATTATGATCACATAATTTACTTACTTAGTTTTCTACATTTATCCGGCTAAAAACCAAGGAAATTGTTAAAACAGTATTAGAAAACGGTTTTTTTTTTATTAAATAGTCACTTTTCTATTGTCAACAGTGCAACAGCTGTTACAAGCCCCTGCTGCATCCACAGCAGCGGCTCAACTACTCCGACTACTCACACCCGGTGACGTGCCCGCATTGCCGCGTGCTGGACACCCATTTCGTAAAGCCCCTTGCTTACTGCTTCACCAAGAGGGCGTTCCCGCTATTCCAACAGTGGCCATAACAGACGGCGGTGCCGGGGACCTCCCCCGGCACCCCCCCTGCTTCCACTGACGCATGGAACTTCGCACCGTCGCCACCACGCCGCGCCTCGCCCCCCGCTTTACGTCCCGTCGTCAACACCAGCATGGCATCCCGCGTGCCAGAGCCCGAAGAGCCTAAATACATCACGCCGACTCTCGCCAGTATCACCGAGTCGCTCAACTTGCTCGGGTTGAGCCCGGAGACGCTGGCGATGAGTTTAGGGGAGTCGCTCGCCGAGCGCTACCTCGCTGCGCTTAGGCCCAAGCAGCCTGAGCGGCCTCTGCCTACGCTCGGCGGCTGCGGCCGACCGCGGCCGACCCCCCTCGCCGACTCGTCGCAACTTCAGCTCTTCTCGAACGACTTCATCGACTATTTGAACCAAATCGCGTAATCGGTGGTGCCCGATGCCCAAAGGACTGTCTCACGAACATTTCAAGTGCGTTCCAAGGACGTTAGGAATAATTTCTGTTAAAATTAAGTTGGTATTATTGAGAATAATTTTATCTGTCGGTTTAGATCGTACTATTGATTTTATTTTAATTTTATTCTGCACTTTGTTGATTAGATGTTGATTTTTATCGGAAATAATAAATTAGCGTTGAAGTGTGAAGCCAGGAAATGCATTTTTTCGTTTTTTCGATCGCGTCATAAACCTGTGTGAACTCCTTCTGAAGGGGTCGATGGAGAGGATTTTTTAAAAATTATTGATTACCTTCGATTTCAGTGATACTGATTACCCTATTTGATAGGGGTTTGAGTGGTGTGTTGTTTAGTTCAATTTAGTTTATTAGTTATGTTTTATTTTAGCAAAATTTTAAACCTAACTTAAGTGTTATACAATATTTTCGTAGGTTTATTGCGAACTTTTATTTCCTCCCACCAAATGGCACTTTAGATGTGTAAAGGACTTCAGCTTGAAGATGCCATGTTAGTTTATTATCTCTTATATCAGTTTCATTTAATTACTATAATTTACACATAATTTAATCAACAATAATAAAAGGTAGAGGATTTTTAAGTGTAAGTCATTGCTGTGTCACCAATAATATGATTAGCTTGTCTATATTTATATCTATTACAATTACGGTAAGGTTACGTATCTTTAAAATTGTTATTTTTACTTCATTCTTATTTATTTCGTTCTCAGTGATTAGCGGGACGTGTTAGAAAGGATACTTATCGATTAATCAAGTTATAAAGATTCAAAATTGTGCCATATCAAACAAAAGAGTATTGTTAATTTGTTTTGTGGTCGTGTATTATCAAAATATTATATACACCACTAATCATTGAGACTTTTGTTTTAGTTTTAAACACTGATGGAAGCATGAAAAACTTTCACCACTTCTTTTTTTTTGTTAAATCTAATGGCTAAATACACTTTAGGATTAAGGGTTTTTTCTTATAATTATCATGGATGTCTATTTATTTGTAAGTGGATAGCGCTTTGACATTTAATAAGCGTTTATTATGTGACATGCGTGCACTACTCTTAACTGTTTAATGTTAACTTTTTAGATAAGGTTTTTTATACATTTGATACTTATTACTCGCAAAGTGATTACAAGTGATAAACATTAGTTATAGTGCGTGTTTAGTGATAACAAGTGGTGCGGATAGCTAGGCGCATACGAACCAAATTGTTTACATTGTGTAAAAGTGATACGGGCGGATTTATTCGCTAATAATTAGGCAATAATTCTTATCAAGACTTGACACTTTTGTAGGTAATTTTTGCATTGTCCTTTTTAAATCGTAACTGCCATTTTACTAAATTATTGGATTAATGTGCTCTATGCGGCTGCCTTCATACGCATACAAAAACCTTTTTTCAACGCGTTCGTAGAGTTCGCACAATTTCTCAACAGTTTGTAACGCACAAAAAAGAAAAATAAAATAACCCCAAACTGTATAGGTGATTGATTCCTTTGCCTTCCCAAATGGCAAAACTTAAAAAGTAAGCGCTAATTCGGCGGTTGCTTGAAACAAAATTAAAAAAGATGGGTCCAAAACTACAAGTCGGAATTTTTTAACGTTGTTTCTTCGCGCGTACATCGATAAATCAGACGTACATAAAAACAAATGACGTTCTAAAATTCTAATCCAATTGGTTTGCCTTAATAAGGGATGCGTGTCAAGGTATCCGCGCTCACGCCGTGGAGCACATTAATCCGTCTCTATTAGGACTGAATACGTCACGTTCGTATGTGTTGTGTAGTACGTAGGTTCATCATCGTGCGTTCATCACTTATCATCCGCATCACTCCTCATTATCATCTTCATCGGCACTGTTTGAGTGGACGGCTGCTGGCTCCTATACCCTGAGAAGACACAATAACGTCATAAGCGAAGTACTTCTTAAACCACAGAGTAAATAGGTACAGAGTAACATATCCATAAAAATGCGAAAACGACGCACACGATTGGGGATCTCGGGTATACTCGGAAAACGTCAGTTGATTTTAAGATCAAGATCTTTTTCAGGCGCGTTTACCTGTGCGGGCACTCGGTTCGTTCGTTTTATATGGAACTTTTGTATATATTTCTTTGTGCTAGAATCTTGTTAGAACGCACTTTAGAGTTTTACATGTAAAAACTTATATAATGTTAACAATAAATTTTCACTATTTTAACGGATCTTTATGTGTCCCTTTCGGGTTTTAGCAGCCAGTATCCACGTGTGGTTGTAATACCTCTTAAAATATTTTTAAATTAGTATCCTAAATCCTTCGCTTCAAAGTTACTCTAAGGATGAATCTATTACATATTATCTATCGAATACCCTATACATAGCATGACGTCATAGTATTTGTAAATATATCCCGTTTTTTATCTACTACACGCAGATGCTTATCGAAAATGTTTAATAGGATATATTGCATATTTCTAGTTTAGCCATAAATCGATAGTACATAATCTCAACAATATCAAAGAAACCCTTATTATTTTATTCACGCGGGCCGTATTGGGATGACACTTCATGTATGTTATTCATTTTTAATTTTATCAAAGTTTGCTCGTTCGAATATAGAATTATATTTAAAAGTTTAAAATGTACATCTATCACAATGTATATGTACACAATAAAGTATTTGAAGAGAAAAAAAAACAAATAATAAAAATAAAAAAAATAACGAGCTGTTGTTGGTATATTTAGAAAAATATTAATTGAACCAGATCATCTGATGGTGACCATGTACAAATGAAAGTGAACTATCATCCCAGTACGGCGACCGGACTAACATAAATTATAATGTCATATTGTTTAATAGTCAAATACAGAGCCATCTACGTAGATTTTATAATCAATAAGAAACTTGTTTAGAATGACTGACAAATATTTAACGGTCATATAGTATTCCGGTACAAACACAAAGTGATCAACGCTATTTTGGAAGAAAAAAAGAACTACTTATATCAATCATCCGATGTAACAGTACGGGCTGTTTATTTACTATTTTATAGATTTTTCAATATTAAAGAAAATAGTGAATTATAGTGAAATCACCGTGGCTCCAATCAAAAAAAAAGTATACATGACATAGTATCCGGTTTTTTAGAATGTTGACATACATTATGTTGCATAGTACAACTTTACACGGTAATAATGTATTATATCACTAAACCAAATAACTATCGAAAGTATAACATATAAATTTAACATTGATAAAGAAGTTTCCTGACAAACCTGGCTACTTTATTTACTAAAATTCCAATAGCAAAAATCGCAATCATTAAATCATATATTTCGATTTGAGCTGTTGGACTTTGAGCGGGAGTTGTCAAGATATACTAAATAGAATTATTGATGAAATACATACAATTTCCCTTGAACCTTTTTTTCTAACGGAATTTCACAATTTAGCTTCCTATAAACTAAATACAAAAACGCTTTTAATGGTTGTAAAGATTAAATAAAGGGTTAAACACATCCGTTAATTTCGGTTCTCCCTTACAAACGAACGATATTATCAGGAAAGCGTGTTTAATTATTCATATTTTAGTGAGTTATAGTTCAGTTTTGATAATATTATGATAACTACAAGAACGTTGCCAACTTTCCAAGTTTATTTGCACATATTTGTTAAATTTATGTAATTAATAATAATGATAATAATTTATTTAGACACCGACATTTCGAATTTCTTCATGTTGAATTTTAAATGTAATTTAGTGAATTGCTTAAAAGTACAAAGAAACGATTTGTTACTTTTGCAAATTTTATAAAGTAAATCAAATACATTATTAAAAAGTAACACTCGTCTAGGTAATACATATTTACATAATAGTTGCTGTAACATAATTCCTAAATAATTGTAACCCGCAATTGTTTCATTACCTACACAAGTTACTAATAGCCGTTTTGTAAAGAAATTTCGTTTAGTTCGTTGAAATTTAGGAGCGAAAATTGTTATTTATTGTAAAAGAAACTATATCTTGTATCGGTTCTTTTGAATTTTTAATTAATTGACAACCTATTTTTAACGTATAATGTATTTAGTGATTTGTAGGAGCACACTATGTAGAGTAACACCATCGGCATAATATTCGTTGAACTATTAGTATTTATGTCTCCGCTTTGGATAGGTTAACTTAACTTTTTCCCAATAGTAGTAGCTCTTATTTAGAATCGTAAGGTTTCCTTTAATAATAATGTGCGAAAGGGATGGATGTATGTGATCACATGACATTAATTTTAATCATTATTAGTTTCATTTTTGCTGTCGCCGCCTCATGTAAGGTGTTTGTTGAACGTGAACATTCTGGTCATAGGTGCCGTGTCGCCGCGGCTAACTGTTTTAGGTACATCAAGTTAAATTTAAAATTTACGTGATAAATAAATTGTATGTAATGTAACGAAGCGCGAACGGTGTCACGCCTGCCACTATCACTGCCGGCTATGGATACTAAATGTTTAGCCGTACTAGAGTCTTCGTCCTATCGAAACTTATCGTGGAACCACTTTATAATAGCATCGAAATATTTTTGAAAAAACACAAACCTTTTTCTATACCAGTGAAATCTAATCAAGACTTTTGTACGTAGAAAACTAAGTAGATAGGGTAACAAAATTGAAAAAAAAATTCGTTTCTGTAATAAAGCATTTAAGTAAAAAATGGCTAACATTGATACCGCTTTGTGATACAATACAAAGGCGTAATTAAAGGTATGAGCGAGTGTGACATTCAATATCCACACAGAATATAACCCAGCGTCCGTAAATGTAAAGCTCAAATTTTTTCCAAACGCGTTGGCTGATTCTAGTATACGGCTGTAATTGGTTAGTGAAAATGCAAAAAAAAAGAAACAAACGTGTTAATTATATTTTGATACTCGATGTTTTCTACACTAAGGTAGTAATTTCGTATAAATCTTTCGTGTTTACTTGTG